GCTCAAGCCTGTAATCCCAGCACTTTGGGAGGCCGAGACGGGCGGATCACGAGGTCAGGAGATCAAGACCATTCTGGCTAACACGGTGAAACCCCCTCTCTACTAAAAAAATACAAAAAACTAGCCGGGCGAGGTGGCGGGCTCCTGTAGTCCCAGCTACTCGGGAGGCTGAGGCAGGAGAATGGCGTAAACCCGGGAGGCGAAGCTTGCAGTGAGCTGAGATCCGGCCACTGCACTCCAGCCTGGGCGACAGAGCAAGACTCCATCTCAAAAAAAAAAAAAAAAAATTCTCATTGAGATCCTTAGATACTCAAACACAGATTATGTATTAAGAAAAGTTAACAACTAAAGTGAAAAGTGATGGCATTTGTTCAAAATATTGTACATTCAATAACTGAAGTATTAAGTATTTACCATCAATTAAATTAGAAATCTTTGTTCCTTAACCCCAGTCAAGTGACTATCTGGGTCAGAGAACTTCCTTTTTACCTGATAATCCCGAGGTATAAAATTATCAATAATAAGCATCTGAAGTCGAAGCTCCCGGCTAAGTTGCCGAATATTCTCCAGTAGGCCTTCAATTTCCCTCTGATGTTCCTGTTGAAGATCAGCCATCTACCAGGAAATCCATAAAAATATTATGAACAAACAAGACTTTAACTACCAAACAGCACCATCTCACATAGGACGCTTGTCTAAGAGACCTTGTGAGAGCTTACCTAGTTCTTTTATAAAAATGATAAACAGCGTGACACTATCAGCATCTATTCTACACTATTCGTTAAGGTTGAAAAGAAACAACTTAGCCTAATAGATAAAATTAAAAATTGCGCATAAAGGATAAATATTTTATTTCTTTTAAATTATAAGCTCACATTATGATTACTTATAAATTCTTAATCAAACAACTCCTTTTTCAAAAATTCAGAACTGCATTAGTAGGTAATTTCTAAGAGAACCAACCTCTGATTTTGCAGCCATCAGCATAGTCCAAACTTTCTTTAACTTCTTGGTCTTTCCCTGTGCTTCCTCTTGCAAGCTGGTATATTTTTCTTCAATATCCAAGCGTTCTTGCTATGACAAAAATTAGTAAACTTCAGAATTTTCTTTGTAAAATTAAATATCTAATTCTTTAACAAATGACATAAATGATCTTAGCAACTCTGATCTTCAAAGCAATCCATAAATATGCTTTAAAATTTCAATACGAAAAAAAAAAAATCATAATGTTAAAGTTTACCAA